CTAGTGTTGTGTCTCTATAATAAATGGACAGTTGATAAATAGGTGATACCACCTCCTTTCATCCCCTACATGGTCATCTGCAGCACATTTTATGGACACTATTCAGGGAAAAAGTTTTTAATCATCATTATCTTTCCAATCTCACACTTTTCTGTCATGCACTGTAGGTTCACAGAAAAATCTTTCTGTAGTTGCATGATTGCTCCATTTAAGATTGTTTCTATTTTCTCTTTATTTTCAGCTTTAGACAGCTCTACTGTGGAAGAGAAAAAGCCTCAACTTCTCAGGCCAATATAACCAATAGCGCCAACATATTTCATATCCTTATCTAGACAAAGCCATGCTCCAGGTTTGAGGTGGCCATATGGATGTGATGGCTGTGTAAGTCTGACCACAGTTTCCCCTGCTCTGTGTGACACTCTCTGGACACCATAGGTGGTGGCGGGATGAAGAGGTGTCTATCTAGCCCCCTCCATGCTGGACATGTGGCACAGCATCTGTCTCCGGAGGACAGGCCCAACACCAAGGACTAACCTGGTTTACGACCATACACACTCACACCCACAAGAGGGAGGTACAAATCAAACTTAAAGATAATAACCTCCCGACTGCACAAGAACAAGGTAGTAAATGGTATGGAAACAGCATATAAATATACTACTTTCATCCCTTGTTAAACAGCCACACTAGGAACAATAAAAACAACTATATAAAGAGGCCATTACCGAGGGCAACTACAGTACAATACACTGGGAAAAATGTCAGCCATAAACAGTAATAAGAAATGGGTTTGATATAATAAAAATCATAAGGATTATAACTTAAAAACTACTAGATGAGATCTGACTAAACTGCAGACAACAAGCTCTGCTTCTGTTTTTTTTATATATATTTTCAGCAACTGGAGATTCTTGTATAGAAAACAAACACTCATTGATTACTTAGCAGACTGTAGAGGAAGACAACACATATGGTAGTATATGGTAGTTATATACAGTAGATGTATAGTATAATGTGATAAAATAGACCTAAAATCTGGTATAAGAAACAAAACACATAGGCCCTGTGAGGCTCTAAAGGCCAAAAGCCACAAGCAAAATATGGAATTACAATTGCTACAGTTTGGAGCCCCGTGGTCACATGCACGAGTAAGTGTGCAGAAACACACAACACACACACACACACACACACACACACACACAATCACACAATCACAAATGAAACATGGAATGTAAATGGTCTGACGAGAGTCATAAATCTCTTGCTGGCTCTAGGGCAGTTGGGCTCGGACAGCCAGTGGTCCTGTCAGAATAGTGCAGCTGTGTGAACAGAGATATCCACTGTGTTGCAGGAGCAGCGCTGCAGGCTGAAAACTGGAATTGATCTCTGAAATGCTCTGCTGCTTTTTCACAATAAAAGGTGCTGAAAAAGTCTATTTTGGGGAACAAATTATTATGACAGAACTCCAAAATAACCGAAATCTATCTCTAGAAGCTTGGTGATGTAATGAGTACTTCAAAGAATAGTGAGTGAGCTACTGTAGCTGATGATCTAACTGCTAACACGCTAGCCAGCCAGAAACATACTGTATTAAGGCCAGTTGGTGGCAATCTTTCTATTTTATCTACAATGTGCCATTTATTCTGTTACTTAGCATTTTGCTCTCTAGTTCATACAGTGCATTTTGATGAATAAGACATTTATTGAAAAGGGAAAAGAGTTCTTCAAATTTGAAAGTCAAATTTCACCCGTGTTGGATGCAGAAAACTTGCATGGATCCACTAATCATGCTGATTTCTCTTGAATCAACTGATTTCGCAGTGAAATTAATTTTTAATTAATATGGTGTGACCAGAACTCAAAAGCAAACAACTGTCTCCCTAAGGTAGAGGTCAAAGCAACACACAACAACACAAAACAATGCTTAATTCAACAGCTCATATGTCCACAAGCTAGACAAGACTGTTAATTTGGCCAAGTTTCTCTTGGTTTTTTCATCAAAGAAACCAACTCAAATCTAAAGTCTTTTACATGTCCATGTTGAAACAATGGCAACATTTGTTGCTCTAAAAACAAAAATCACCCTGACCAAGAGAGATGCACAAGAAGAATACAACACCAGAGCATGAAAGGACAAATGAGAAAGTTATAATTTGCCTAAAGCCCCAGACCAGTGCCATAATGCACCTGTTCCAGCTATGATTTATCAATAGTACAACACCAGCCTCATTTGGTTTTCCATTGGTTCAATAACCAGGTGGTCTCCTATTGTGTAGCACCACTGGAAATACAACAGAACAAAAACTAGAATCTTTAGCGTTGCATGAGTTATAAAGTAAAATGAGAAATAGAAGAAACAGATTGCTGAGAGGGAGAAACACAGAGGGAAAGCAGGGCTAATGAAGTTTATAAAGAAGGAGAAAGGAAGGAAACAAATGCAACGATTGCTGAGGGGTCTCTGGATTTGCTGAATCTCATCAGCCTGGAGTTTCAGGACAAAGTCACACTGGCACACTTGCTGCCTGATGAGCTCTCTTTCTTTCGCTTTCTCGCTTTCTTTCACACTGGTAATGAGAACTGCAGGAGTCTGCAGACAGTCACATACACACTATAAAGCATTTAAGAGTAAGCAGGTGTGCTCACTCATATACACACACATTCTCAGACATCAATACCAGGGCACCTACAGTGTCATGTGGAAATAGCAGGAAAGATTTAGGTTGGCAGAGCTATATCTGTTACATAGATTCTGATCTTTTTGGTGCATATGTGAATTAGTTTATACATGCAGTATGTTCATTAGCAGTGTACAGTCTACATGCAATTCTAGATTCCAGACTTTTAAAAAGTTTGTGTATTTTGGAGAAATATGCTTACTTTCTTGCTAAGAGTTAAATGAGAGCAATACCACTCTTGTAAATGTATGGTAAATAATGTAACATTAGCTGGAACTCACAGCTGTTTAGCTAATTAGCATCTGGACAAAGCCATGTTATATAGCTGTATCCCTATGGAGTTTCTGTGTATCTGAAGCCGGCAGTCAGTTAGCCACATTAGCATGGCAGACTGGAAACAAGGGGATGCCACTTGTTAGTACATTTTTATTCTTAATTTTGTTGTCAATTGAACAAACAAGATGGGTAGCTTCACATGTGCTAGTAGTGGGATTTTGTTACCTTTGGACAGTGTAAGGCTAGCCACGTGCCCCTGCTTACAGTTTTTGGCTAAGCTAAACTAAATGCCTGCTGGCTTTAGCTACACTTTACTGTAAAGGCCTGAGAATAGAATCAAACTTAAAATTTAACTTTCAGCAAGAAAATAAATGTATTTCCCAAAATATCAAACTATTCATTTAACAATATTTAGTATCATAAGAATTTAGTCAGACAAATATTATGACTTTATATTGTTAATGAATGGTAAATTGATCAATTGCCAAATCAAATCAAATTTTTGTAGCACATTTAAAGTTGTACCAAAGTACTTCACAAGCATCTTAAAAGAGCATATAAACTGAACCATCACAACCACAGACATTAAAGCACCAAAAATATACTAATTTAAAACATCATAACAAGAAAGTAACATATTAACACATCATAGCAAAAGCTGCTGCTGTCTGCAGTTAACATAAGGACTCGTGCCTTTGTTTTGGCCAGTATAATCAATTTACCTCAGCAGTAGAAAAAGGAGCCATAGTCTCCTAGAGTTTCATTTAATTGACATGACGACATTACTTGCCTAGGCAGACATCAAAGACATCTCCCATCTTATTAAAGCATGGATGATGTTTTTAAGAATATAATGATCCAGAAACTGCAGCATCTAGCAGCCATGGAAGGTTAAGGTAGTGACAATGTGTTTCTTACATTTTAAGGAGCCCACAACAAGAAGTCAAATAGTTACTTTCGTGATCAACATCCGTATCATCAACACACAACTAACAACAGGCTCAATGTCCAGTCAGTCCTATAAATGTAGACACCACTGATATGACTAGACACTTTGGATGATACTATTTGTTAACAGTATATTTTACACAACAAAACTAACAACAAGAATTCAATAGTCTGGCTCATTCTCATTATGCTATCAGGTTTCCCTACTGTCCGTAACTATGCAACATATTAAATGATGAATGAATCCCCGCTTTGTTTGGCCTGATGTTCACTTGTACTGTAACAGAGAAACCCCAGAGCACATGCTTCCCCACCTTGTTGCTGTAAAAACAAAGTAACTGCATTTTACAAGTGAATCTCCTTAACTGAAATTAAACTCAGCCAACACCTGAAAAATGCTAGAAACAGTGTATGGCTTTTATCAGTCAGAAGAGTGATCTAAAATAATCTATATGTATTCTGGAAAAGCTCAATAAACTCATTCATCACATAATATAATCATAATGTAATAATAAAAAACAGCTTAAAAATCAAAGAAGCTGAATGGGATTTTTACAGCACAGGACTGATTTGAAAATCTATCATATTAGATCAGAAGAAGAAAAACAAGTGAATTTCTGCCAGACAACAGAAAGGAAGACAGCAGAACACATTTGCTGATTGTATTGCTTCAAGACAGTCACGGGCAGAGGAGATGTAATGAATTCCCCCAGAGCCAATGTGGCAGGAAGATCAGAACTTGTTCACACATCTCCTGCTTCTGAGGAGAAATAACTAGCTCCACTCACTTTGATGGAGAAAGGAATACCCACACAGACACATTGGCTTTCTGGCTTGGAAGTAACTCATTTTTGTATATTTCTCTCATGTGCCTCTCCCATTTTCTCCTTGGTTTCCTACTCAGCATGCCTGCTTTCTTCCTCTTTTTTGCATTTACTCTGACTTTTCTCAGTTTGCTCACTGTCTCTGTATTAATTGGAGGGAAATCCAATTGTTTTCAAATGCCAAATCACTCAATTCTTCTGTTGCCATTAGATTTATCGCAACGAGGCTCGCCATCACACTAAAACTCTTCCCTCACCTCCTTCCAGTCTCACTTACCTGTGCAATCTCGTAAAGCAGTTTGTAGTGTTCCTCCCGTTTCTGCAAGGTGCACAAATTGCAGCCCATTCTAGTTGTCAGGGAAACAGTGTCGAGTGCCCGCTAGAGTGTGTGTGCTGTCTGCGGTGTGTATCAGCTCCCCCCTGGGGTGAAACACACTGGGGCTCCTCTTCCTTGGCTCCCCCACACCTCTTTCTCATCCGTGTATCCTCAGAGATCCCCTCACCAGCTCCAGGCACAACACACACGTGTTTAGTTCACTGTTTATGTTGTAGATGCAGTTCCTTGAGTGTGTGTTTGTGGGGAGTGTATCAAAGGTAAGCAGCTGGCTTCTCTTTCACTCTTACACTCCTGTCTGTCCTTTGATTCTCACTTGCATGCCTGCATACATTTTTTCCACTATCTTTTCTTCGAAACCTCCTCTCTCATTGTGAGAACACACTGGTAGGTACACACACTTTTGCCTCATGGAGACACACCACCTCCTGGGGCAGGCTGCCTACACATGCCTGCTCCTACTCCGGCTCATTAAAAGACAGCGTTTTCATTGGCTGTTGAAGGGAAGGGGCTGGAAGAGGAGGGAGGGAACTGGTCTTATCTTGGCCAGATTCAGTATCTGAACATCACTGTATTGTGTCCAGGCAAAGTAGAGGATATACTCTGTATGTGATTGTATGACAAATTGCACTAGTGGTTGCATCTGTTTGTTGTCCATGTGTGCAAAAACAAAATAAACAAAAAACCCACTTCATTCAATTTAAAAAAATCAGTACAAAAATACTAACCCCGCAGTTAATCAAGTTACTAAGAGGAAGATTTTCTTTAATGCTCACATGGAAATCAATCTCATTTATTTCCAATCAGATCACCTTTTTCACTCAGTACAATGGTTAGAGGCTGCCATAATATTGTAGTCAGAGAGCGAGAGTCGCCTAACAGATGCTTCCGTCTCTCTGCCGGCAGTAAAACAAGAGCACTAGGCTGATACACAGGAAGAAACACAGACTAGTATTGACTGGCTTCAAATTAGCTTCCAGCCGAACTGGCCCCTCTCTCCAGGGGTGAGGGACAGAGACAGAATAAAGGAAAGAGAGGGTGATGGAAAGAGGAGAGAAGAGGATGCAAGTCTTGGAGATGCTGTTTAGATAAAACAAAAATGCGGGATGATATTACAATCCTGTCACACTAGAAATTACCAGTATGCTAATATAACATAACAAATATCTTTTAACTGAAATGCAAAGGTGCTCAGATTACATTTTAAAAAACAAAATAATGAGAAAAAGTTGTCAATGAACATTTTTTTTGTTTCTGTTTTTTTTTTTTTAAGATTGAGGTTGAGAAAGTCAATGGTGATTGAAAGGATGAAACACAACATGTGTTTACTTTATGAATATTTAAAGTCCAAGTGAAAATTTCCACTGTTCAAGAAAGATTAACCAGCTTGGATAAATATAGTATCCTTTGGTTTCTCTTGGCTCTACCTACAAATATCTTGTTTGTGTTTGCTCTCCTGTCAAATAAAAATAAAACCATAAAAAATGAAACTCTCTGTAGCAACATTACAAAATACCATTAAATACTAAAGATTGAGGGAAGCTCAGTCTACAGTTTGCGAGGGTAGCCTTCACCATAACAATGGGAAGCATGTAACTCATTCAGTACTGTGCATTTTCTAAACTCAAGTGTTAGTGCCCTCAGTATAGGTTTCATTTATTCTTTCCAAGATGACAGTACAGTTCAGAATAATTTACAGTGAGATGAATCAACTAAACTGCCTAACCATATAAAATTATGGCAATCTGAAAACTTCCAGTCACACCCTGTCTGCATGACGAATAGTCGTCACTGCTAAGACTATGAGCAGAGAGCAAAGATGCGTCATCTTCCTTATCACCAGTCACGCAGATACAAGGACCATAGCTGTTCAGTCAAGGGCGTCGGAGCATATCCAGATACAGCCCCCCAGATAAAAGTTAACCCTTTCTCTCCAACCACTCTTGTCCCCTTCTGATGAGGTCACTGTTGTCTCTGTTGACCTCTGAAGGTGACATCACCTAACAATGAACTTCTGGGTTTTTTCTTTTTTATTATTTTCTTGCTCCTTTCTTTTCTTATTTTCACTGTCTCCCACTCTTTTCCAGTGCTTATATTTGTAGTCTTACCTTGAGATTAGCAATATTACCAAACTGTGGTTAAACTGCCACTGTGATCATCCATAAACTCAGATTTGCTGACAGTCATAGAGCTAAATGTGTGCCCAGAACACTTACAAACACATACACACACACACACACACACACACACACACACACACACACAGACCTCCCTAAGAGCCTCTGCAAATATCAGACACATGCTTCCACAAAGAAATGGCTCCCAGTTTACTGTAGGATGCAAAAATCAATCCTTAAAGAAAAGAAGATGAGTGTGAATATTTCATATACATCATCACACTGAATCCTAGCTTAGCATTCCTTCAAAATTACCCCCAGTGATGCTCAAGAGGTTGTGTGAAAGAGGCACCTGAATTTTTGAGCACCAAGAGAGCAAAAATGGGAGATCAGAACGTGAATACCTCAAAAGGATTACAAAAATGTGGAAAAAATCAAAAGCATAATGTTAATTTTAGCAACAATGTAAGCAGGCAAATCCTTTTTCTAATCACATACTTACAAAGGGGCAATTAGATGATTTCCTCGGCAGCTTTCATTTTACCTTCTGACTGATGAAATAACAAGCTAACTGAATTATATCCTAACTGTTTATCTGTAGGTAACCAGGAGGACCATATTGTTTGTTAATAATTGAGGTATGGAGTAAGCAGGCACAAAAGCAGCCATTTTGAGAATGTGTGGTGGAGAATGATAGAGAACCTAGAATCTCAGAGAAAGAATGATCAATTAAAAAGCCCATTGTCTCCTATTCAGCCATAATTAAGGCAGACAAAGATGAGGATACATTACACAGTGGCTTGCATGAACATACAAAAGGATACAGACAATGCAGCAAAGATAGGAAATCATTAATTATGACAAAAAGGTAGTAACAACAGCAACACCTAAAAAATTTGTCTCCAAGAGAAGATGACAAAAAGTGCTAATTAGGGCTGCAGATTTTCTCCTAAGAAGGGTAAATCTTATTGTTAGCAATCAATGCTAAACATTTTGCCATGTAAAATGTTATAAGTTTGACAAAAAAATGGACAACTTCTGGCTCACATCTCATATTTTCTTTAATAATTTTTAAGTTATTTTCATTTTTGGAGTAAATTACCTGACAGGCAGGCGGGATCTAATAATAGTCATGAACTCCTCATAAATGCCAAGAAGATCCTAATGCTTGCTAATTGAGATTCATGATTTCAAATACCAATCAGATAAAGTGATTAAGTCTTAGCTTGTCCAGATCTTTAAATCGTAGCTTCCCCTCCCAGCACATCATCCTGTGATAGTCCGCATCTCCTCATTTCATCATTAATCTTTCTTTGTTTTGGAGCAGCGTTGCTCTCTTGAGAGCTCTGTTTTGGTGCAGATAGAAGACGTAATTATTCCTCTGCAGTGCTGTATATCTAAACAATCTATCTTTGTCCTCTGTCTTCAATAAGCTTGACGCTTTTGTGTAAGTTGCTACTATGCAGTGTTTTCAACATATAGAAGTCACCATGAAAAACATGCCAGCATGTATACTTACAGTAAAGTGTTCGATTTTGAATGAGGTGTTTGACTATTATGACAGTGCAGTATGTAGTGACAATGAAGGCAATATTCACAGCTGTGAAAAGGGAAATAAACACTTCAGAAAATGGAAAATCAAAGGAAGAAATCCTTGAAAAACAACTTTGACAACAACTTTCACTATCTCTGAAAAGGGACAGAACTGTGCATCTTCTACGATTCTTCTATGATTATAAATAATAAATAAATACTACAGTAATAAATACTGCCATATTCAAGAAATAAATAAGAAAGGTCTGGATCTGTGAAGAAAATGTTCAGCGTTAACTACAGGTCTCTAATGATTAGCATTTAGCTAATAAAAATGAAGGAAGAAACTATCACACAATGGATAAAATAGATAGGAGGAGCAACATCAACCCATCATCAAAACTCCAGTCACTGGATCACTGGAGGCTGTACAGTCACAATGTCACTGTCAAAACCCATTGCATCTCAGGCTTGTGCATTATGCTATATGGATTTTGTTTGAATTAATTCAAACCAATTACAAGCTAAAATTAGTTCAAACTTTTTGAAAAGGACACCCCTATTTGCTATTAATTAACAAGAAGACTGTGAGTTTCTTGTCATGCTAGCAGCTCTGTGAGGTGATACTCACAGTGCTTTGAGCTAAATTCTAACATGCTCACAATAACATTGCTAACGCATGCTGATGTTTATAATCATAATAATCACCTTTATTTGGCCAAGTACAATACACACAAGGAATTTGTTTCTGGTACAGAACCAAGGCAGCCATCTGCAGCTCTAACCATCAGGGGTAACTTGGGGGTTCAGTGTCTTGCCCAAGGACACGTGTGGACTGCAGGCACCACGATTCGAACCTCGGACCCTATGGTTAGCAGATTACCGCTCTAGCCATGAAACTCAGCGCAGTACCTCCAGTGAGCCTTCCCTCCATAGGCGTCATACATATACACAGCTAATTTGTGCAGTCACTTATCACTTGTAAAGTTTAGCTACCTTAGCATCAGACATTCTGCTCCTTATACCCAGAACTAAAAACATATGCTTTTTCATGTTGAGGAAACGCCAGATTAAAAAAAGCGTTTGTCATATTTTGATACTATATTCTTGGCCTTTCACCTCCTCTAGACCATGGAGATGAATGGAGGTAACGTGACATTCAGCAAAGGTTGTATTCCACATTTGGACTCAGTGCCTCACATGGCACACACTCCCGACCACTGAGCCACTACTGCGCGTTCCTGTCATCAATTTTGTACCAGTAACAAAGGAAATGAGAAATGAGAAAATGACTTGAGGATACAATTAATATTTTGTATCCTTGGTGTATTTTATAGATGTTAATAAATTTGCTCAAGTTTGTCCCTTTAATTTACCAGTGTAATTTCTATTTGATATTCAAAACATATTATCAAATGAAAAGCAGTATGTATCAGCACTAGGAGGCAGAAATGACCTTGCCCTGCAGTGACAGCTTAATCACTGTTGACCAGCACTGAGCCTGAATCACCAGTAATTGAAATTTAAAGCTTTAATCACCATTGGCCAATATAACGCTGACCGTAAGTAAGCCTGTTGCCAGCCTGACAATTGAAATACTGTTCACTTCCACAAAGAGCGTGTCTTTTATGATGGCATTGAATCAAACACTTGCAAACACAACATTACTGTGATGAGCTCAAGGTAAATTATGATTAGAAACTGTCATTGTACTGCATGCATATATCATTTTAGTTGCCATCTGTTTTTATTATTCCCATGTGAACAAAGAAATTGAGGC